GAAAATTTTAGCTTAAGATAAATAGCCATAAATCTAGCAAGTAATGCGTATGTTAAGCTCTTTGTTTTAGAAACTACAGATAAGGCCCATCTGGCGCCTAACAAAAGCAGCTGACCTCCTGGGGCACTGGCTAGAGATTACTGCCTGAAGACATCCGCACCAGGCGACTACCCCCGTCCCACTTGGAGATAGCTATTGCCTAGAAAAAAAGTGCTGCAGCTGTGAACTTCAAAAACTCGCACTAACTCCTGTTTGCCCTCCCCCAACCCCTTTATAAAAGATCTGGCCAGGAAAGAAAGGGGAAGATGGTTTGTTAGAGTATAAACCCGCCATCTTCTCAGATCACCGGCCATATGAATAAAGCACCTATCAAAGATTCAATCGCTGTCATTGCTTATTGGATTTGGTGGTGACAGGCAGCCCAAACGGCATTACACCTACACACACCCATGTATGTACACACATGCATATATACATATATGTGTGCGTGCACACACGTTAGACACAATATGCATGCACATACCTGTGTGCACATGTATCTATACACACACATCTCCTCTGAACATGAACTCTTTAAGGATAAGAGCATCATGACCTTCACCCTGAAATTCTTCAGTGTGCGTCTCTCAACAACAAGCACGTTCTCCTACGTACCCTCTAAGTCTTTAAGACACCTAAGAAAACCAACAATAAAGCCCTGATGTCCTCTAATGTTTAAGTTTCCCCATGGGTCCCCCAAAGGCCTCTCATCGCTGTTTTTCAAAAACCAGCATTCCGGCCAAGTGCCCGCACCGCACTGACTTGGCTATCAGACCTCCTGACCGCCTTTTCGTCTTAACTGACCTTATGTACTTTTTCAAAAAACTTGTTTGTTGCTCCTGGGATGGTTTTCTTGCAGAAGGCCAGAAAGGCCCCACCTTCTAGAACAGTTTGAGTGTTTTCCTGTAGGGTCATTCATCTTTTTCCGCCCCCTGCATTTCCGATCAACTAAAAGTTAGGGCTAGAAGCTTGATTAGATTCTGGGTAACACCTTTTCTTTTTTTTTTTTAAATAGACTTTATTATTGTTATCACTATTTTTTAAAAGATTTTATTTATTTATTTTTAGAGAGGGAAGGAAGGGAGAAAGAGAGAGAGAGAGAAACACCAATGTGTGGTTGCTGGGGGGTTGTGGCCTGCAACCTAGGCATGTGCCCTGACTGGGAATCGAACCTGCAATGCCTGGTTCACAGCCTGCACTCAATCCACTGAGCTACACCAGCCAGGGTGGTAACAGCTTTTCTTGTTTTAAAGACTTTTTTTTTTTGAGAGCAGCTGCAGGTTCACAGCAAACCTGAGGGGAAGGTACGGAGGTGTCCGGTGTACTCCCTGCCCCCACCCATGCGTGGGCTCCCCTGTCACCAGCGTCCCCCAGCAGCTCGGGGCACACGTTACAATCCGTGACCTGCAGGGCACATCACACCCCCTCCCAGGCCACTGTCCACACTGGGGTGCACTCTCGGTGCTGCTCATGTCCTCTGCATCACGCCGGCATCGCACGGAGGAGGTTCACCACCTCAAAGATCCTCTCTGCTCCACCGGGTCACCCCTCTCTCCCCCTCACCCCCGGCGACCACTGCTCTCTTCTCTGTCTCCACAGTTTCGCCTTTTCCTGAAGGTCACCCAGTGGGACTGCGTACAGTGCGTAGCCTTTTCAGACTGGCTTCTCTCGCTTAGCAGTCCACACCAAGTCTCCCTCCTGTGTTTTCATGCCTTGATAGCTCCCTTTTTATCGTTTATTTTAGCACGACACAGTAATCCCATTATCTGAGCATGTCAGAGTTTGTTTGCCCAGGCACCTCCTGAAGGACCTCGTGGCTGCTTCTCAGTGTGACAGTTCTGAATCAAACTGCCGCCAGGTGGGCTTTTGTGTGGACGCTAAGTTTTCAGCTCCTTCGGAATGTGGCCTCTGTGTTTATTTTGCCATAAACTGCCAAACTGTCTCCCCAGGTGGCAGCGCCGGTTTGCATTCCCACAGCCAGGGAGGGGCCTTTCCGTCACTCCGCACCCCGCCAGCACCCGGCCCCCCTTCTGACCGGTGCCGCGTTCATCTGCCTTTCCCTGGTGACGGGGCACGTGGAGCGTCTTTTCACTGGCTTTTGTTTTCTTTTTCATTGGGAAAGTGGCTGTAACAAAATGTGCCACCGACAGGTGTACAGGTCTGTGGCATCACATCGCCCGTTCCTGTGCAGCCGTCACCACCAGCTCCCTCCAGAGCCTGTGCCTGTCCCCGAACAACACTCCGTATCTGTCCCACAGTAACTCCCCACTCCTTCCTCCCTCCGGCCCCGGCGGCCACCATTCTGCCTTCTGTCCCTCTGAACTTGGCTGTTCCAGGGACCTCACGGATGCGGCTCATACAGTGTCCGTCCCGCTGTGACCGGCTTTGGGTGACGCCTTCGACCACAGGCCTTCACCGGTGAGGACACTGCATGCCGGCGGCAGGCCCACAGAAGGCTCGCTCCTGCCCGCCCACCCCTCCCACCGGGCTGCACCCTGTCCCCCGCTCCCCCGCACTCCCTCCCCAGGGCCTTCGCATGTACCCTTGCTGCCCTGGCAGACCCCTCAGTACCCCTGGATTCCAGGCCAGGGCCACCCCCGGCAGAGGCTTCCCTGGACACCCACAGCACCTTCCCTGTTTCATTTCCTTCCCGGCACGCGTCACAGCCTGCCAGAACCATGTTTGGTATTTGTTTGCCTGTTTATCGTTTGTCTCCAAGGTAACCCCCTCGAGAGCAGGGACCTGTTCACTGCTGTGACCCCTGGTCCCGGTGCTGTCCCTGGCCTGTGGCAGGGGCTTGACTTAGTTCCCTCTTGCTGCTATGACGAATGACCACAAACTTAGTGGCTTCAAAACAACACAAATGTAGCCCTGGCTGGTGTGGCTCCGTGGACTGAGTGTGGACTACAGACCAAAAGGTCACTAGTTTAATTCCCCGTCAGGGCACGTGCCTGGGTTGCGGGCCAGGTCCCCAGTGGGGGGCCACGTGAGAAGCAACCACACATTGATGTTTTTCTCCCCCTCTTTCTCCCTCCTTTCCCCTCTCTCTAAAAATAAAATAAATGAAATAAATGAGTAAAGTCTTTAAAAAAATAAACAACACAATAGCCTATAGGTCAGGAGGTCAGAAGTCCTAAGGCAGCGTCCGGGGAGAATCTGTTTCCTTGTCTTTGCAGCTGCCCCCTGGGCTCCCGGTCAGCCCCCTGCCCCTTGGGCTCCCAGCCAGCCCCCTGCCCCCTGGGCTCCCGGTCAGCCCCCTGCCCCTTGGGCTCCCAGCCAGCCCCCTGCCCCCTGGGCTCCCAGCCAGTCTCTCACTGCTCTCCCACTGCCTGGACCTCTGTTTCTGCCCTCCGGTCTCCTGTCCGAGCCTGACTCACCACTCTCCTTGTACAATGGCCCTGTGATTACCTGGGGTCATTCAGGTCGTCTGCACATTCCGTTTAATTTACCCTTTTCAAATGGAAGGTCACAGATTCACAGGTTTCGGGAATTAGAAAGTGGACATCTTTTGGGGGGGGGTAGGGATGTTATTCTGTCTTAAATATTTATTGAATGAATGCTAAGTGAACGGGGTGCGGGTCTCTTTCCAAGAGGAGTGCTGAGCGCCCGGCGTAGCCACTCCCAGGCCCTGCGACCTCAGGCAAGTCTCCTTTCTCTGAGGCCCCCCCGCTGGTACCCTCCCTCACTCAATGTCTCCCGAGCACCCAACCTGTACCCCGCTCTCAGGAGACACCGGGAATGCCGAGACGCAGAGAAGGAGACCCCTGCCTTCCCAGAGCTGGGGGGTCAGTTTCTGGGAAAATGGGAAAACCTGACCGTCTCCTCAGGTCCACATTCTTAGTCACCCCGGAGACCTCCCAAGTCCTGCGGGGGTGGGCCTCCCTGGAAGGTGACATTTCATGTGGCCAAGGACACACGAGTGGGAGTTGATGAGGCAGAGAAGTGGAAAGGGCATTCGCGGCCCGGGACAGGCCACAGACCGCGGAGAGGAACTGTGAGGAGTACGGCGGGAGGCCGTGGGGGTGGAAGCGTGTCTGGGAAGGGGCCTTGAAGGCCACGGGCAGGAGCTGTGCCTCTACCCTCGGGTCAGGGGACCGCAGCAGGGTTTGGAAGCGCAAGAGACATACATGTCGCTCTGAATCCGGGCTGCGCATTCTGGCCACTGCCACGGAGAGAGAGAGGCTGAGGGGCCAGCGTCCGAGCCTGACACAGAGGTGGCCTGGGCCGGGCAGGGACAGTGGGGGTGGAGAGAAGAGGCCGGACCCTTGCAAGAGTTAGGACACAGACTCCGTGGGACGTGGTGGGAGATGGAGAAGGGGCGGGTGAGGAGGAGCTCAGAGGCGGCAGCTGGGGAAGGAGACAGGCGAGATAGAAATGTGGGTGCAAACCCCTTACAACTGCTGAGTGGACTGGGAACGGGCCCAAGGCGGGACTTTGCGAGAAGCCAGGGAAGAGGCTGGTGATGCGGCAGAGAAAGCAAATCAGGGCGCCCGTAGGCCTCTCCCGGGCACCAGAGATCAACCATGACCGCCAAGGGGAGCAGACGGGTCTCAGTTCCAGCTGAGGGTTCGGGGGGCTGTGTACGCCTGTTCCCATTCTCTCCTGACTTGCTGGCAGACGCTGGGGTGACCAGGCAGGGCTCTGAAACCATCGTCCCCATTCCCAGGGACGCCCAGTGGCCCGGACACTCGTGAGCAGACCTTGGGAGCACAGGCCTCGGAGAGGCCCAACTCAAGGGGGATTTTGCGAGTCCCTTGAGACTCAGAGGGGCGGAGGGTCGGGGTCCCCTCTGATGGTTGCAGCCACAGAAAATTTCCTCCAACATGGAGGAAGCGGGAGTTCTCCTTTCACAATGCGAGTGTCAGAATTTGCTCACCAATGACTAAGAGTGTTCGGGGCTTGTGGGTGTAGCACCGCTTAAATAGCAGACCTTGGTGTCTTCCGGCCATCGCAGACACCTGGGCCGGGACACAGAGGACAGGAGCATGGCCAGCCTACAGACCGCGCTCCTGGCTGCCCTGATCCTTCTGGCTATGGCGCTTCAAGCAACGGAGGCAGGTGAGGCTGGGGAGAAGGCAGGCTCCCTGCGGAAGCTGGGGCTGCACCCCGGGGCATCTTTCTCATGTAGCGGAAAGCACGCTGGAGCCGGAGCAGATACCCCAGACTGCTGCTGGCTCTTGAGCTAGCCTCATTGCTTCTCTGGGCCTCCGCGTACACATCTGTTAAATGGGGAGTCTTGAAGGCTTAGGTCTAGGGTCTGTCTCAGCTGGTTGGGGGTTGTGGTAGGCATGGCCTGGGGTCCTCTCCTCCAAAGGACTGGAGCATAGGGCCCTTGGGGCGTGGAGAAGCAGCGGCAGTGGAGCAGGGGACAGGAGCTGAGACAAGGGACACTCCTTTGCCGATTCTGCCCTGCCACCACCCCATTTTTGCTCCAGAACCGGCCCTCAGGGCTGGGGTCCTCACTTGTCTTCTCCACGCCAACGTAAACGCTCCGGCCCTGGGTCGGGTGGGGGAAGGAGCGCTGGGCTGGGAGTCGGGCAGCTGGGAGAAATAATTGCCCAGTGATTAGGCAATTGAGACTCTTGAGTGCTTTCCCTGCATTGAAAGTCCCCCGGAGTCAGTGCTATTATCACCCCCCTGGTCAGAGGAAGAAATTGGGCCTTCCCTCGAGTGGCCTGGTGGGACTCGAACCCCAGTCCTTGTAAGTGGGCTCTGCCTCAGGCCTTGCCCTGACTCCCCAGAGTCGTGCTGCGTGACTCCGGGCAAGTCTTCCCCCTCCCTGGACCTCAGCCTCGCCACTTGCTCCATGAAGAGGGTTAAAGTGGAGGGAACTGAGGAAGACTTCTGAGGCACCCGGGATCCCGTGGCCATGCCCATCGGATTCGGCAGGGCGGGGGTGGGGAGCGGAGCATTTCTGAGAAGCTCCTGGGCGATGCTGCTGGTGCCATTGGGTGTGTGGCCTCATTGAAGAGCAAGGTTCTAGGGCTCCTCCCTGCTCAGCACCCCTGGGGCCCATCCGGAAGCGTAGGGCGTCACAGATGCCCAGTTGTTCTGAATGTGTCACCTTTGACCGGAATGATCCCGAGTAATGACATTGGGCTCTTCGTGGCTTCTCAGGGGCCCAAGATCGGGGGCAGTGAGGGCCCAGAATCCTCTGACACCCACCTTCCGCAGAAGGAGCTGTGTCCGAGGGTGGGGTTCCGGGTCCGGCCCCTGAGCACCTCTCTTCCCCAGGCCCTTACGGAGCCAACGTGGAGGACAGCATCTGCTGCCGGGCGCACATCCGCATCCCCGTGCCCCCGCGGGCGGTGAAGAGCTACTTCTGGACTTCGGACTCCTGCCGGAGGCCTGGCGTGGTGTGAGTGGGGCGCTGGGGAGGCCGGGCCCCGGGAGAGCCTGCCGGGTGTGGGCCCAGGGGCAGGTGGGTGGGGCAGGTGGTGGCAGCGCTTGCCCGCAATGGACGGCTCAGCTCAGGCTCGGGTGTGCTGAGGAAGAATGGCGTGTGATCGTTGGATGAAATGTTACGGGGTGCCTGCTCTGCGCCCGGCAGCCTGCGGGGTTCTGAGGATGCCGAGCGGGAATGAACAGACACGCCCCCTGGGGGCGTGGGGGCGTAGGCAGTCTGGAGCCTCAGGGCGTGGGCACAGAGCCTGTGAGGAGGATGTGCCTATCACAAGCATCTTGGGTCCTCCCCAAGGTCCTGGGAGTTGCCTGAGGCAGCTGTTCTTTCCAGAAGAAGAGTATTAAGGGCTCACACCTACAGAGTGTTGGATCCGGGCCAGGCACTGTTCTGGGGTCCCTGAACCGCGTCCCCCGACCCTCTAGGAGGTTCGGTGGTTCCCATTTTATAGACAGAGAGACAGGCTCAGGGAGGGGAAGTGACACGCCCCGCGTGGCCCAGGCTGGAACCGGGACCCCTTCTTTGCTTCTTCCCCCCAGTCTCTTTGCCTCCTCTCCCGCCTCACCTGGCCTTTCAGGGGGGGAGCCTCGCCAGCTGCTGCTCCGGCTTCTCCGAGCCCGCTGCCAAGCCACGCACTAGGGCGGGGGGAGTCGGGCTTGGGGACTCATGACATCTTTGGGGCCCTGTCATCGTCTCCTCTTCCTCCTCCTCACTCATCTTCGTCCCTCGGAGGGGTCTGCCGGGGAATACCAAAGAAGGAGGAAGCAGCAAACCCTCCCAGGGTTCTTGTCACTTCGACTCTGGGCCTCACCCGCTCCATCACAATCCCCAAATGAGCACCTTCATTTATTTTTATTTATCGAATTCATCGAGAGTGCTGGCTAAGTGCTAGGCACTGTTATAAACCCTTTATAAATAGTAACTCATTGGATCCTTGAAACAACCGTATGTACCAGGTACCGTGGCGGCCCCCTTTTTACAGGTAAGGGCTGGGCACCGAGAGGTTAGAAGGCCTCCCGAGCATCGCGGGGCGCAGTGATCGTGGGTGGAGAGTGCAGTGCCCGGCGGGTGCTCGGGGCACTTCCCCAGTGTCGTACTGCAGACAGGGCAGGCTGCCTGCAAGGCCAAGGTCAACACTGCACACTTCTTTTTCTTTCTGTTTATTGGCGGTCTGTGCGGTGGGGCCGGTCAGGGAAGTAAGGGCAGCTAGGAGTTCCTGGCCCCCAGACAGGGTCTTTCTTGAACGGCAGGAGGGGAGCCCCAGGCCAGAAGATGTCCCACCAACAAGGGCAGGAGCGGAGTGCCCCAAGGGGCCCAGTGTGGCCGTGGCCCAGTTTGCCATGGTTTGGGGGAGGGCGGGAGCCTTTACCCACAATTGCTGTGTGATGTTGGGCCAGCGTGCACCCTTCTGTGCTTCAAGCCTCTCCGAGGGGCCTGGGCGGGGACACTCCGCAAGGACACTGGCCCCTGAGAGTCCAGTTCACAGCGAGCACAGTGAGCCCGCTCTCACCAGCTCCGGCACTCGGGCAAGTGGCTTTGCCTCACGCCCCTCAGCTATGACATGCATAGAATGATCAGACCTCATGGCATTGCTGTGAGGATTCATTAAGAAAACTAATGTTCAGGGTTCAGGCCAGCTGCCGGCACAATCGTATAGTGTGTCCTGCTCTCTCTGCGCTTCAGTTTACATCAACGCATCAAAAGGCATCAAAACCCTGAGAGGCTGGACTCAGGGCCCCCTCCCCCATTTTACGCACGTGGAAATGGAGACTCGGAGAAGTCGGAGGACCTGCTAACAAGTGGCAGGGCTAAGATTTCCACCCAGATAAGCTGGCTCCAAAGTTCACGCTCTTGGCCACTACCCAGGACTCTCTCCCCAGGGCCAGGTCAGCAATGATCAGGACACTCTGACGCCACTCTGCTCCCTGGCTGGAACTGGCACTCAAGGCTGAGGCCGAGGAGCTGAGGGTCTGGGAAGTTCCCCTCGCCTCCCTAAGAAATATGTTTGCATACAGCAGGTGGCTCATACATGCTAAGCCACTGTATAGAGAAGGCATCTCTACATACAGTCGGTGACTCCTAAATGCGCAGCTTTCTGGGCAGGATGTGGCACCCTCCCTGCCTGCTGCTGCTGTCTCATGGTCTCCCCTACATCTCTTCCTTGCAGCTTGCTAACCCACAGGGACCGGCAGATCTGCGCCCACCCCGAATCGCCCTGGGTGAAGAGGATTATCCAGAGGATGGCCTTTTGAGGAAGAGTCCTGCCCCGATGACCGTGGCCTTGGCTCCTCCAGAAAGGCTCGTGGATCCCTACCTTCCTGCCATTACAGCTGCTCCCTGGCCGAAGACTCCGTGCTCCCTCATCTCCAGCCCTGCAGCGGTCACCCTCCACGCCACAGCTGTCACTCTCCTCTCCCCTCTGCCTCCTCTAACAGCCTCCGCTCCCCTGTAGCCAGAGGGTCCACAGCTCCGGCCAGTCACTCCCCTGCTCAGAGCCCTTCCATGGCTCCCCATTGCCCGAGGCTGGGGTCAGAGCTCCTGAGCCTGGCTTCCCTGCCTCCGGACCTGGTCCCATCTCCGTCTCCAGCCCCACCTCATTTCCCAGCAAGCACGTCAAACTCCAGCTCCCTGACCTCCAAACCCAGGCCGTACATTTCTACGCCTGGGTCCTCGCCTGTGTGCTCCTGACACGCACAGTGCCTCCCCATCACCGGCATGTGCCCGACTCACCAGCCCTCCCAGGCATTGCTCAGCCTAAGCAGCCAGGAAGTGAGGTTTACTTTTTATTATATTTTCTTTTATGCTAAGGTTGGCAGAGTCAATGTCTGTCACTTTCTGCCAAAGAGTCCTAAGAGACACACTATTTCTAAGTAATTGAGTTTTGGTTTGTAGACTTCCACTGACCCTCTGCCCCTTCTTGAGAGCCCTGATTACAGTCTGCCCAGAATGTTCGGGTCTTGGGAGCTTGTCCTCCAACCTCTCTGGCTGGACCAAGACCCACATCTGAGCTATTTCTGTCTCCTGGCCTCTAGGACAGAGCCCAGGGCCTGGCCCAGAATCTGGGCTCGGTGAGTGGCCGCAGACGGAACCCATAAAAGCAGCGTCCCCCTCCCAACCCTAAAGGCCCTCACACATCAGTACTGAGACTCCAGGCCATCCAGGCAGGAGCCAGCTGGGTCAGTGGTGGGGACTCGGACTTTCCCACAGTCACCTCTCTCCCCCATTTTACTGTGTGTGGGGTCTCTTTACGCCCCTTGCTTCCCTCGGGTTTTTAGTGCTCCTATAACCTCCCAAACCCAGGCCTGACCTCAGAGTTCCCCACTTTCCCTTCCTCTTTCTCCACATAGCTGATAACTAAATTCATGCTATGGTGTGAATGACTACCCTTGGCTTGGTATTACAAACTCTAGTTAAACATAACTCTAGTTATATCTGTATATGAGAAGGCAGCAAATGCTTATGAAGCTTAGGAGACCATATGGATGATTGGGAGAATTTTAGGAACCGTGTGGGAAAGGGACAAGGCAGAGCCTTCCTGGCCCTGGGAGGAGCACATGGGGTATAGTTACGTGAAAACGCCTTGGGTGGAGGTCATTCTCAGGTGGCTGGGGCCAGGCTAAGGCCTGGGACTTGAGACTGAATTGCTCCTCCATGGGGGCAGCAAGTTCCCCAGGTAAAGGAAATAAGCTTTACACGTCCCAGTTCCTTTCCAAGGGAGCCTGGTGCCACTCAGTGGGGTGGCTTTCGCTCTGTGACCCTGAGGAGACCATCTCCCCTCTCCAAGCCCCACCTGTGAACAGGAACACCCATTTTGCAGAGCTGCTGTGGGGCTCAGGTCCAAGGCACGGGCGGTGGCTTTGGCAGCCATAAAACTCAGTGTCTTCCAGGGCCTGTGTCCCCCCCTGCAGTCCCGCCCACCTGCCCACCACGGGCACCGGAAGTGCTGGCCTGCATGCCGCCCTCCACAGAGCCCGCAGATGTCCTGGGATTCTCCCTTCCTCCCTGTCCTGCTCTGTGCCCTCAGACCTTTTAGAAATAAATCCTCAACAACAGCGTCTGCTTGTTCCTTGCCATTTGCTGTCCCTGGGAGGAGGGGTAGGGGGCACCTGGTGGAAAGCTCTTGATATTGCCATGTGAGCCAGCTTGCCCAAGGGAAGTCACCCTGGGTGGGGGCAGGGAGCCAGGACCAGACAGACATGAGGACCCGGGAAGTAACTGCTCAGGTGCCCAGAGGGAAGCCTACGCAGTGGTCCGCCAGGCCTGGCCTGCCCTGGGACCACCGGACAGGGGGATCTGATGAAGCCCTCCTGTCAGTCCCCAGGCCTGCAGCTCCGGGGGGCATATTCCTTCATTCAGTCAGTCACTCAACAACCCAGCCCCAACCTTCCCCCTTCGAGGGTAGACTCGAAGGAAGAGGAGTTGTGTTAGTCAGGAAAGTCTCCTTTATGCAACAAACCTCAAAATCTCAGTGGCTCAACCCCGTAGAAGTTTTCTTCTTCTCGTGTGAAGTCGAATCAGGCATTCCTGGTCCGCGGGCAACCTTCCGCATGGTCATTCAGGGACACAGGCTCCTGGAGGGCCTGGACTGCTCCCTACCATGCAGCAGATGGGGTCAGGGAACAGAGCCTAGTTGAGGGGGGTTGCTATATGAGCCAGGCAGGAAGAGGGGCTCATCACTTAGGCCCACGTGCCATTGGCGAAACTCAGTCATGTGGCCACCCTGACCGCAAGGGATGCTGGGAAGCACAGTCAAGCCATGTGTCCAGAAAGTAAAGGGAATTGGTTTGGGGAGCACTTAGCTCATCCGGTGCTGAGCTCCCCCCGGGTCTTCCACTAGGCCCACTTTCCTGGAGTTCCTGGACACAGCTCGCTCTGCCAAAACAGGAAAAAGGACTCCTCCTCCCTCAGGGCAGGGAGAAGCATCGAGAAGGGCACAGGTCACGGTTTTAGACAGACCAGGAACGCTCACTGGCTGGTGTCCAAAGCAAGCTGCTCGCCCCTCTGATCCTCAGTTTCTACCCCCGTGCACAGGGAGCACAGAAGCAGATGCCAGTGCGTGTGGCCGTGAGAACCCAATGAGCAAAGAAGACACAGACAGCCCAGCGACAACACGGGCAAAGGCGTGAATAGGCATTTCTTCAAAGAACATATGTGCATGGTCAATAAACACAGGAAAAGATGCTCAACATCAGTGATCATTAAGGAGATGCTAATCAAAACCCCAATGAGATGCCACCTCACACCCCTTAGGAGGGGCATTACACACACACATGCATAAAACAAGGCTGGCGTGGGGAAATCGGAATCCTCGTGATTGCTGGTGGGAATGTAAAATGCTACGGTTGCCGTGGAAAACAGCATGCCGGTTCTGTTAACCTAGAATTACCAGCCGATCCAGTAATTCCACCTCTGGGAATGTACACAAAAGAACTGAGAGCAGGGACTCAAACACATATTTGCAGACCTGTGTTTAACACAGCACTCCCCACAATGGCCGAAATCTGGAAACCACCCAAGCATCCATCGACGGGGGAATGAACGAGCAAGACGTGCTCTTCACGGTAGTGTTCGGCCTTAACGAGGAAAGACGTTCCGACCCCTGCGACAAGGTGGATGAAGCTTGCAGATGCTGTGATGAGTGAAATGAGCCAGTCACAGAAGGACTGATACATTCCTAGAGGCGTCAGACTCGCAGAGACAAAAAGTGGAGTGCCGGTTTCCGGGGCTGGGGGCGGAGGGATCCGGAGCGATTCAACGGCTCCGGACTTGCAGTTTTGCAAGATCGAAAAGTTCCAGAGACGGACGTGGTGCTGGCTGCACGACAGTGCTCACCGCAGTCTTAGAAATGGTTAACACGGCGTTTCACCGCGGTGAGGAGAGGGTGTGTGCACCGAGGGAATGCCAAGTGCGCGCGGGCGACCCTCCTTATCGGCCACAAGTGGGAGCTGGCCAGAGCCGGGTGGGGCAGCGAGGGGCCCTGGGTCCCTCCCGGGTGCGCCCTGAGTTCCCTGCCCTGCTCCCCACGACCCTTGCTGTTCTGCCTCCAGGGCCGGGGGACATCCCTCTTGTCCCACAAGACCGGTGCAGGCTGCCTGCTCTCTGGGGCACCCAGGAAGGTGTGAGCAGGGACACCCTTGTCGCCCCCACCCCACTGACCCCCCCCTGCCCGGCTGCTGCTCCACTGCTTCATCACGCCGGTGGCTCTATTTGTTCCTCGGCCCCCTTCGCCCCTGAAGAGCACCCTCACCCCTTGCTCCAGCTCCCAGGCGTCTAACTGCAGCCTCTCTGCCCACTCCCTCCTTGGAGGCATCCGCATCGGATCGTTCCCCACCCCCTGCCTGGGTCCAGCACTTCCCACCGGGGTTAGGATTTTCCCCGTGCCCGGAAGGGTCTGCGGAAACTCCGCCCGGCTGGGCCCTGCAGGCTAGTTGTGAATCGCGAAGGCGACGCTTCCCCTGCAGAGCTCCGCTGGTGGAATGACCTGTGTGTTGTGTGGCCGTGATGAGGAATTCTTGCCAAGAATGTAGCCAGGACTTCACCAAACCTGCAGCTCTAACTCCCGGCTTATAGGAAATACAGAGGATAGGGGAACAGATTAGATGACATCATAATTAGAGAAGTTCATGCCAAAAATGTAGCCAGGACCTCATCAAACCTGCACGTCTAACTCCCGGCTTATAGGAAATACAGAGGATAGGGGAACAGATCAGATGACATCATCCTTAGAGAAGTTCTGGCCAAGAATGTGGCTGGGATCTCACCAAACCTGCAGATCTAACTCCGGGGTTGCAGGAAATACAGAGGACAGGGGAACAGATCAGATGACATCATACTTAGAGAAAATAAGAATGATCACAGTGTGTGAGACAATAGTCTTGACCCTTCGAAAAGTCAATGCCATGTAACTGCACTGGGTGTGTGTGTGGGGGGGGCGGAATCTGTTGTAGACTAAACAGAAATAACCATATACTATGCACGAACCTACCTCGGGTCCCGGTTCAAAAACTCAAAGAAGGAAACAGAGACGGGAGGGAGCGAGGAAGGAGGGAAAAGAGGAAAGAGAAAGGGAGAAGAAACTATAAGATGCATTTTGGGCTAGAGAAATCCGGTATTAACTGAGTATCACCTGTAGGAATTATTATCCATCTTTAGGTGGGGTAACAGGATTATATTACTAAAAGACAGTATCTTTACATGACAGAGATGCATGCTGCTGTATTTCAGGGCAAAATATCGAGCATCCGTAGTTACTTTGAAATGGCTGGACAAAAAAAAAAGATGCAGTAAATAAGGAAAAATGCTCATCATTGCATGGAGGTGGTAGAGGTGTGAGCATTCTTTGTCCCACTTCTTCTTTATTGTTTCAACTTTTCCACAATGGCAGTAGGAAAGAAACAAACCAGTCCTCTGCCCATCTCCTAACTGAACCGTCACCTCTCCCTCCACCTTCTTTGATGCTCAGATAAAAATGAGGCCTCCCTGGCCCCTCCCAGGACTTGCACTTTCTTTCTCCCACTGAGCTGGGGCTCTGTGGGGCAAGGACTCGCCTTATGGATTTGCCTTTGGGTCCCCCGTCCCACCAGAGTGCCAGGCACACACCAGGGCTCAGTGACAGACATGAGTCACTTGTGCATGCCAGGAAGTGAAAGTCTTAGTTTTATTAACTCCCCGGGTGACTCACTGGTGATGTGGCTATAGCGTCCCATTTTACAGATGGGGAAGCTGAGGCCCCAAGAGGTTAAGTCACTTGCCCAAGGTGGTACCCTTTGTAGGTGGTTGCAGTCAGGGCTGGCTGACCTGAAAGCCAGGCTACTGTGTCCAAATTGAATCTGAACACAGTTAGTCTTTAACCCTCCAATGAGGTCAGTGGGGTGACCATTCCAATATTGGGGAAGGGAAAATAGGGCCAGAAGAGGGCAGGGGACATCCGCAAAGTCTGAGCAAAGAAGAGCAGTGACGCCCTGGCTGGCGTAGCTCAGTGGATTGAGCGCGGGCTACAAACCAAAGTGTTGCAGGTTCGATTCCCAGCTAGGGCACATGTCGAGGTTGCAGGCCATGACCCCCAGCAACCGCACATTGATGTTTCTCTCTCTCTCTCTCTCTCTATCTCCCTCCTTTCCCTCTCTAAAAAAAATAAAAAAATAAAATCTTAAAAAAAAAGAGCAGTGCCATTCTCTCTGTTTTGGCAGCTCTTACAGACACTAAACTCAATTTTCATAGCAGCCTTCAAAGTGGGGGGGAGGGGGAGGGGGAGGAGGGGTAGCCTGGTGGTGGTGAGCTCAGACCCCAAAGCTAAGTGCCTGGGGCAAGTCCAGGCTCCCCTGCTTCCTGGCTGGTGATCCTCAGAAAATTCCTTAACTTCTGCATGCCTCAGTTTCCCCATCCATTACATGGGCCGTGACAGTGGTATTTGGCTTACACCCTGGGCTTGTCACCACGATAAGGTAATTTAATCATGCAAAACACTTAACAGTGGACATTGGCCCATGCGGTGCGGGGCGGGGGGGTCTTCCCTGACAAGCAGAGTCCAGCCTCAGAGCCCCACACCCCAGGCAGCCCTACTGTGCTTTTAAGAGTGGTCTCCTGGCCGTGGCAGCTGGCTCCGTAGCCTGGGACGGTGACTCACAGACAAACTGGTTTCCCTGTGGCTGGCAGCCCAGAGACACAGTTAGATTGAGCGGGTTCACGCTTACCTCCCGCTGCCAGGCTGGGCCACTGCTTTCCCGGAAGATGCTACTAAAGCGACTTCATCGCCGCCAGCACCTGCAGTGATTCACACAGGCCTGTTGGGATCTGCCGGCTGGTCGAGTCTGGCCGGTTGTCCTGGCCAGTCAGAGCTGGGGAAGCCCCCTCCTCGGTGGGCTGACCCAACCCCCACCTTGTACAGGAGGAGAACCGGACCCCCGCTCCGCCCTGTGAGAGGCTGGGCGCACTGCGGGTGGAGGATAAATGAGCACAGAGCGGCCTGGGTGAGGTTGCCAGCGGTGTCGCTCACAGGGGCCAGGGCCGGAGATGGGGGTTGGTGGAAAGGGGGAAGGCCAGTCAGGTGGGGGTCTGGAGGCGAGGACAAGGGACCCCTTTCTGTGTCCTGAGCTGCCCACACCCCAGCTTGAGCCTTGGCGTCTTCCCTGTGGCGTTTTTCCACCCGGATGCTTTCTATGTCCTGGGGTGATTTTGCCCCCTCTCGGGGCCTCAGTTTCCCTGTCTGTCCCTGTGACATGTACCACACCGAGGCCCTCCTTACTGGGTGCCAGATCCTGTAGGGGGATGTACTGATGAACAAGTTCCTCCCCGGGGCTGAGGCTTCAAGGGGTGAAGGCTGGGTGGGGGTCCTCCCTGGGGTGGTGGGGACGCCCCCAGGCCAGGTGAGAGCTCGTCAGACCCAGAGCAGCATGGTGCTGGGCCCCTTGCTTGCTCACGGCCCGTGTTCTCTATTCCTGGGCCCTCCTGCCCTTTGTGTCATGTCCACTGCGGAGCGAGGGCCCCAGGCCAGACAGAAGGGCCTGCGCCAGCTCCCAGTGCGGAGCTGACTGGGTAGGTGGGAAGGGGGGTGGCCCTTTGAGCTGCAGGGGCCCTGCTCCAGCCTCCCCAGCAGTTTCTGGTTTGAGGAGCCGTCCTGAGCAGCCCCGCATTGCCGGGGGCCCTCCCTCCACCGAGCCTTCGGTTCCTTGGCAACATCCAGAGGAATCTCGTCGTGTACTGGCTCTCTGCCTGTCCCCTCCCACCGCCTCTCTGCAGGGGGGGCTGGGAGGCGGTGGCGGAGGCGGAGGCAGAGGCTCCGATCCTGGCTTCTTAAGGACAGAGCACTGGTAGCTCCGCTGCAGGACGGCCGGAGCTCAGGAGCCGCTCTGGCCACCTGCCCTGGCCTTCCCTGGATCCCCGCCTGGACCCCCGTCGCCCTCCGCCATGGCTTCACCGCTCTCCTGGCTGCTCCGCTTGGCTGCTCTCTACTGTCTAATTGTGCTGCTGGCCGGTGAGTGGGGCGGACCTGGCAGGAGCAGGGTGGGAGAGCCCCTAACCCCACTTCTGCCCCTCCGGCCTGGCATCACGGCAGCAGACCCCTCCTGGGTAAGGCGGAGGTCTGTGGCTTCCCCCTCCCAAGGGATGTGCCGCAGGCGGATGCGGGGCTGTCGCTCCTGAGGGAAAGATTTGGCCCAATGGACAAGGTGGCTGCTGCATAGCGCAGGGAGGTGGAGAGGGAGGAACGGGGGCCCCAGGTGTGGGAGTGCCAGGAGGGCGGGGGCTAGGAGCAGCGGGAGGCAGCCCCTGCTGGGAATCAGGGTGGGACCCAGGTTTAATGTGTAACCCGAAGTCCAGGCTCCTGAGTGTCAGCCTGGCCCCCGGGGCCAGGCCACAGTCCGGACTTCCTCCTGCCCTGATTTCAAAGCCACCCAGCAGTAGGGAGCCCAGGACCAGTGGAGGTCAAGGTCATTGCATCGCAGAGTAGGCTCATCACTGTTGCTGTGATCTGTGGCCCCCAATTCCCCTTCCCGTGTCCCCGCCATGGTACGGTCGTCCTCCTCCAAGCACAGCTTGGAAAGTGTGTGCACCTCCAGCCACCTGCTTCCTGGAGCCTGGGACCTGGGAGGGCACTATACATCCATCCTTCCTGCTGTGACTAAGATGGAGACCCACAGAGGTGCAGAGACTGGCCTGAGGTGGCAGAGCCGGCAAGTAGGGAAGGACAGGATAGGGCTGCTTGCAGGAGGCAGCAGGGACGCGTGCCCACCCGCTCCGTGGGCCACAGCAAGAATCGTCTGAGTCAGCCCCATCCTCCGGGAGTATCCAGGCTGAAGCTCAGAGAGGGTGGCAGCCCACCTGAGGGCACGCAGTGAGCCTGGGAAGATGAGAACTGCTTTCCAGCTCCCAGAACACCTCCATGGAGCAGACTGTCTCCCGAGACCCTCCGTGTGGGGACAACCCACTAGTGGGGCAGGGAGCAGGTGGGCGGGGGTGGCGTAGGTGGCAGAAGCCTGGCGTTGCTGGCTTCCTGTCTCCTGAGCTTGACTGCTGAGGTCCGTGGTGTCTGGGGATAGTGAGCTCTAGAAGAGGGGAGTCAGGTGGAGGTGCTTTGCCATGACCCTGAATGGGGTTTTTGCCGTCTTTGGTCCCAGCTGCTGCACCTTCAGATATTTGGGAAGTGGGAGGAGGAGGATTACTTATACTAAGCCAGGGGTGACAGTGAAAGGTGCCTACGCTAGCGGGGAGAGGGGATCCTGGGGGGACCCTGGATGCTCTGTCTACCGGCCTCAGGCCTCAGGACCATCCGGCTCCTGTCCTGGTCTTGGTCACTGACTTCGCTGGGAGACACTTGCACTATTTCAACCTTTCTGAGCCTCCCTTTCTCCCCCTGTAAACATGGGCATTCGGCCAGGCCCACCCTAGAGGTTCTCACCCGCACTTGACATTTGCATCTGTGGCTGTCACAGGCCCCCTGGGAGCCCCTGCAGGACTAGCGGGTGGTCCACGAGCCAGAGAAGCCCCCCAGGGGAGGCCGGGGGGCTTCTCGTCTGCTGCTCTGGCTGGTGCAAGGCAGCTATGTCAGCTCCTGCGCTGTGTCTCCTCGGCTTTATGTAACCAACCTGCAGATACAAGCAAGTCAGAGCAGGGAATTTTTCTCCCCGAGCACTGACGCATTCGCTCCCCCTCAACCCCCCTCGAGGAAGAAAAAGTCTGCTTTCCTCTGCCGTAGTCTGCCACCTGCTTAGCGGTGGGGGTGGATGGGGAAGGCAGGGGAGGATGAATTCAGGGTGTCAGATCCAGGCCCCTGTCGAATTTAAATAGAAACTCCTCTAGTTCTCTATTTGTGACGATCTTCTATGTCACAAAGGGCTTCTGTGCGCATTTTGTGGATTCCTCCCACAAACGTTTACGGGGTGCTCAGGATGCGCCCGGCACTGTTCTTGGTGCTGAGACCAGATCCATGAGTAAAACTGCCCAGGACCCCAGCCCTCAAGGGTATGAGCATCAATAGGGAACAGACAGACAATACACAAAATACATCAGTAAACAATCTGATCTTTTAGAAAGAAAAAAATGCTGTGATTTTTTTTTTTCAAGGAAAGGGTGGAGGGTGGGGGTCAGGTGTTGAATGTTAAGTAAGGGGTCACGGACACCTCCCTGAGAAGGGGGAGGGGCCCCACGGATCTCTCCAGGCAGTGGTCCCCAGTGGGGGGGGTTGGCCTCCCAGGGAATACTTGGCAATTTCTGGAGATGTTTTGGCTGTTACCAATGTCCCACCATTCTTGGTTGTGGGGTGGCGCTCAGGCACCTGGAGGGTACACAGGACGGCCCCCTGGGACGAAGAACTGTCTGGTCCAAGGTACCAGCGGTGGCTGCTGTTCAGAAAACCCTGCTCTAAGGGCCAGATATTTAGAAATCACTGTCCTCACAGCCGCCCGAGAAGAAGGTATTATCACATCCCGTTCACAGAGCAGGGAATCGAGGCTCAGGAAGCCTACGGGACTCATCCTGAACGGACACCTCACATAGGTTCGAGCCCTCTCCCTGTCACCTCTCTCTAACATTCCTGCCTCTCCCTGTCTGTAAGCCTCTTAGAGGTCCTTGAGGGCCAGCCTGAGAGGCACCTCCTCCAGGAAGCCCCCCCTGATCACTTGCAGCTGGAAGTGGTCTCTCCCTCGAGTAAACCCCAGCACAGCGGGGCTGTATTTTAGAACAAGGTTCTTCTACCGGGTGTTTGAGGCAGCCTGGCGAAGCGGGATATCCAGGGCCTGGGAGGACAACCAGGCTTTCGACTAAGCAGTTGTGTGGCCTTGGGCATGTGATCTATCCTTTCTGATTCTCAGCTTCTGCATCTGTAAAATGGGGATGACAATACTCCCTTTGCAGGGATGTTAAGAATTAATGAGAGCGGGTGTGTGGGTGTGTGCCGAGCATAGGTGTTAACACATAGTAGGGGCTCAAATAAGAAGGGCTCTGGTACTTGGCCGGTGTGGTTTAGCTGCCCCCCCCCAAGCTGGGAGCCTCCTGAAGGCCAGGATGGGCCTCGCTCATCCCACTATTCCCAGCAAGACAGAGGGTAAGCGTTTGTTGGTTAGTTGAGTAAACCCAGCTGCCTGGTAGCATTTATTGGGACTGAGGTTATCTCTTTAAGCCTAGCACCAGCATTTGTGAGAGTTCAGGGTTAAGGACGAGAGGACCAGGGCTTCGTAGATATTCAAAAATAATTCAAACAAGGTTGGCTGAATCAGGACATGGATGGGTGGATGGATGTGTGGATGGATGAATGGATGGGAGTGGATGGATGTGTGGATAGATGTGTGGATAGATGTGTGGATGGATGTGTGGATGGGTGAGTGGATGGGTGAGTGGATGGATGGATGGATGGGTGAGTGGATGGATGTGTGGATGGATGTGTGGATGGGTGAGTGGATGGATGAGTGGATGGATGGGTGAATGGATGTGTGGATGGATGAATGAATGGATGTGTGGATGGATGTGTGGATGGATGTGTGGATGGATGTGTGGATGGATGTGTGGATGGATGAGTGGATGGATGAGTGGATGGATGTGTGGATGGATGTGTGGATGGATGAGTGGATGGATGTGTGGATGGATGTGTGGATGGATGAGTGGATGGATGTGTGGATGGATGTGTGGATGGATGAGTGGATGGATGGGTGGATGGGTGAGTGGATGGGTGGGTGGATGGATGGGTGGGTGGATGGATGGATAGGTGGGTGGATGGATGGATAGGTGGGTGGATGGATGGGGCGGGGGATGAGATTGAGACATTATTTCATTTAGTGAATATTTATTGAGTCTCTGCCTCATGCTGGAAAACATTATGATACCAAGACAGACAAGTGCCTGCCCTCCTGAAACTCATGTGACAAAAACTAAATGGTTGTCTGGATGGAGGCAGTATCCCCACCTACAGGAAGGAAAGCTTGAGTTCGAAGAAGACAATCTCCCCTAGGTTAGTTATACGACCTACCCTGGGCAGGGCCGAGAGCAGAGCCTGGCCAAGAGCATTCAGGTGCTGTGGGGGGGGGGGTACTTGGGGGACAGGCTGACTCTGTGGCTCCAGAGGTGGGCAGTGGCCTTCCCCATCCTGGGAGGTTGAGTCCAGAGAACAAGCTGGCCTTACCCAGCTTATCCCTGCTGCCCACTGGGCAGCCACACCCTGGCTCCAGGGCATCCAGGGACACCTTTTCTCTGGGGCTTTTCCCAGGAAGACAGCTGCCAGGCCAGCCCAGGGGCCGCCTCCTGAATCTACTCAACAGGACCCTGGGGAGCTGCCACTGAGTGATCCTGAGGTCCTGCTTGGGGAGCAGGGGGAGACGAGGCAGCAAAGGGGACTTTCACATCCTGGTCCCTGAAAGAGAAAGGCAGCCCGTGACTCAGGGCCCAGCTGCTGGGAGATCCCCGCACCGCCGCCCGCCCGGGGAGTTACTAGTACAGGTTTGCTTGTCCACGCGTTTGCAGCTGCGCATGCGCGGTGCGTGTTTGGGTGGAGCAGGAGCACGGGGACCGGCGGGCGCCCCTAAGCCCTGCAGAGCCAGATAAGATCTGTTTGCTCTGTGTATTCCCCAGCCCTGGAAGTTCTGGCCTCTGGATTTTGGCAAAGCCTTCCAGGGTCTTGCTTCTGCTGCACGGGACCTTGACCCAGAACTGAAACTCAGTCTCTTCCTCATTTTTTTACATACCCCTGCCCAGCTTTTAGCAAGCAGAGTCCATTTTATTGAAGATTTTAAGGGAGGGGGAGGCGGAAATGCAATGCAAACAACCTCAAGTGTTTATATAAAACATGTGGGGCCCTAACCAACCTGGCTCCGTTCGTGGAGCGGCACCCTGCAAAGCGATGCGTCGCCGGTTCCATTCCTGGTCAGGCACGTGCCTGGATGGAGGGCTGGCCCCCCGTTGGGGCATGTGTGAGAGGGAACTGACGGATGCTTCTCTCTCTCTCTTTCTCCCTCCCTTCCCTTCTCTTCCAAAGAAAATACATAAATAAAGTGCCTATCTTAAAAAAAACAAGTATGTGACTTCTCAACTGTCTGTGGAGGCAGCCCCATCCTGTGCTGGGGGAGCCAGCCCGCTGAGACCCCGCCCCCGACTCTGCTCCCACCCCCGCGCCTCCTTCCTGCCCCGCCCCCATCTTGCCCTGAGGTCGCCCAATGGCCTATTCCCTCAGCTCCTCTCCTCATCTCTTACACTCATCCTGGCTCTTGACAGAACAAAGGGTGGTCTACTCAGCAGCACACCCCCTACCCCCTCGCCCACGGCCCTCAGAAGGCAGTTGTACTTACACACTTAAAAAACGTTATTGTATTACCTGCTCCCTGTGTCTGGTTGTACGTATGTTTTTATGTGTTTGTGGGCAAGGGTGTGCACATACGTGCATGCCACTGTGTTTGCTGGCGTGCATGCGCGTGTGCGTGCGTGTCGCGGGTCGTCCCACGAGATGTGGATGGCAAGAGGTCCGGGCGTGTCTCAGAGGCGGTGGAAATCCCTGACGATGGACAGCTTGGAAGGGAGGGGTGGGAAGTGTACGTTGCCCGCACCAGGGAGCAGACAACTGAATGGGGTAGAGGCAGGGTGGGGGATGGGCGGCACCACAGACCCAGAGGCGTGATGGGAGCCAGGCCTGGCAGGAGAGCCCCTTCTGTCACTTGCCGGCTGTGTGGCCTCAGGCAGATCCCTGTCACTCTCAGACTCCTCTCCTCTGTGTACCACACACTGACTATAGCAACTTAATTTTTAAAATTAAACACAGATGATGTCCCAGGCAATAAGAGCTTTGTAAGTCAGACTTCACTTCCTTGAGTTCTTACAACAAACCACCCTGTGAGGTAGATACCATCACTGTCCTTATTTTGCAGGTGGGGAAACTAAGGCACAGAGAGGTTCCGCCAGAGACGAGGGTGGGAAGGATGGCAGGGTGGGAGGCTGAGGTCAGGGGCCTCAAAGGCCAGGGGCTGAGGGTGTTGGTTCCCCCAGGGGCGGGGGAGGGGGCGGGGCTGGGACACGCTGTCACGGGGCTGGGAAGCCAGATGGGCCCTGGACAGTCCTGCTGACCGGGGACCTCTGTGGGCTCAGGACAGCACCACGGTGTGAGCAAGTGCAGCATCACATGCAAGACTATGATAACCCAGAAGATCCCCGAGAACCGTCTCATCGGCTACCAACGCAATCAAGCATCTTGCGGCAAACCTGCCATCATGTAGGTACCGCCCTCGCAGCCTCCGCACCCCCGGTCAGGGCCCTGGGGACGGTCCCAGGCCTCTGCTCACTCACATCCACATCCTCCCACCCCCACCCGGACTCCTGGCCAAGGGCTTCGGCCAATGCTCTTCTGCTTCTGGCCTGCTGACCCCCTTGTTGACCTTGATATTGTGCCACATGCAAGGTGGGGAGCCGCTTCCTGCATGGCCTGTAGCCCAGAGCGGTGGCTACCGAGGGGGGGCCGCTTCTCCTGAGCCAGAGAGTGCTCTGCGCAGCCCTGGAGCCCGCTGGGTTTCATGGCGGGGGTGAAGTGCGGTGGTCTCGGAGTGCCGGTTGCAGCACCCGGCAGGTACGGTGAGAATCCTGCCTTCGCCATTGACAGGCTGGGCGGCCCTGCTCCCACTGCCCACCGCCCGTAAGATGGCCGGGTGGGAGGACGAACGGGGATCGTGTAACTGAAGTGCATGGCAGGGTTCCCAGGAGCTGCTGACAATAAGAGGCAGAGACCGTCTTCTCCAGGGGACGAGAAAACAGGATCTCTAAGAGACTTCGGGCAGGAGTCCAGCCAAGCCAGCTTCTGCCCTGGCTGTGGGGACCCCTGGCCATCTTGGCTGCTTGCTCCCCAGGGGTGCCTCTGGGGTACTGACCAATGGCCCAGCCCTGAGGCCTGTCTCTGGGACTGAACTCTGGGCCCCAAAACATCCCAGCCAGACCCAGGGGCCTGGCAGCAAGCAATGGCTAGGGAGCCTTCGAAGTGGAGGCTCAGCTAAAGGAGGTCGTCACGCACTCCCATCAACAGGCCCGTTGATTGTGCAGTGGCTTCAAGGGGGCCAGTGTGCTTCTGCTGGGCTTCTCTGCTCGCCCACCAGGCTCGCTTCCCCAGGCTGCCCCTCGCATTTGCTTCCGTTTTCTGGGGGAAAGGGAAGTGGGAAGCACCAGGCAGGGACCTCAGCCCTGGGGCCGCATTGGCGCCTGTGAGGCCTACAGGGTCACGTTACCTTCCTGGACCTTGATTTTCTCATCTGCAAAATGGGGGTGAGCGTGGTAGCCTCCTCGCAGGAAGGGTGAGACGTTTAAATAGGCCAAATGCCTGGCACTGGGCATGGCATGGAGCAAGGGCCCCAGGCAGCTCTGAGCTGTGGTCTTGGCAGAGAACCAGCCACACGCAACTTCAGAGGAAGCTCAAGATTTGGGTGACACTCAGGGTCCCAGCGAGGCCACCGTATACGTGGCTGTAGCTCACGAGGTGTCGTTTCAACCCGAGGACACACACTGGCAGAGAAGGGTAGAGGTCCAGAGGCAGCTTGTAACCGAGGGAGAGGAGGAAGACAACGACATTGTGACATTGAGTCCTCTCCGGAGCCAGGTGGTCCCACCATAGAGCTTGCCGGTCACACACCTGGTGGCAGTGGACGCCTGTGACCTCTCCTCCCAATCAAAAGACTCAGCCCAGAGCCTCTGCCTGAGTGACCAGGACAATATTATTAGCATTGTTATTATTTTTCAGCTATTACTGATCTCCTACTCTGAGCCAGGTGCCTTACATACTTTTTGGGGTGTTTTTTTTCCCACAATAACACAGAAGCAGGGCAACCAACTTGTCCCAATTTGCGTGGACTTTCCCGAAAAGTCCTGCCTTTCGAGAATCCCCTCAGTCCCAGTTTCTCTGGGACAGCTGGTCCTCACTTCTCAGGTGAAGACACAGGTGAGCTCTCCGAGGTGGAGCTCCCCCAGCCAAGCGCTCAGCCAGGAAGCGGCGGGGGCAGCATTTCCAGCTGGGCCTGTTCAGTCAGTCGCAGAGCGTTCTCGGGAGACCCCTACTCCGCGTGGCCTCTGGGCATCACTGGGCCCCTGTCTTCCTTCCTTGCAGCTTGGAGACCATAAAACACAGACTGTTCTGTGCTAACCCAGAGGAGGAATGGGTCCGCAAAGCCATGGAGAATCTAGACCGAAAAGCTGCTGCTGCTGTTGGGAGCGCCGGTGGCGTATTTGAGAAGCAGACGGGCGACGAACCCACGACCAGCCCGGCTGCCGGGGGCGGGGACGGGTCTGCGGGCTCAGAGCCCGGAGCCACAGGCGAAAGTGGTGTCCAGGAGACACAGACAGCCTTGGGGACGTCCCCAGAGCTGCCTCCCCGACTGGCTGGTTCCTGGGGGACCAGGTCCCCCAGCGCTTCAAAGGCTCCGGATGGAGGACCTTCCGCGGGGCCCAAGAGAACTGAGCTTTTCAGCGCCTCTGCTGTCACCGGATCTTGGTGGAGTTCTTCTGCTTACCGACCTGGGTCGGACCTCTGGACTAAGGGAGAGGCCTCTGAAGCCCCCTCCACCCAGGCCCCCTCCACCCAGACCCCCTCCACCCAGACCCCCTCCACCCAGGCCCTCCCCACCCAGGCCCCCTCCACCCAGACCCTCCCCACCCAGGCCCCCTCCACCCAGGCCCCCTCCACCCAGGCCCTCCCCACCCAGGCCCCCTCCACCCAGGCCCTCCCCACCCAGGCTGCCTCCACCCAGACCCCCTTCACCCAGGCCCCCAGCACCCAGGCCCCCTCCACGCAGTCCCCTGCTCTGTCACACGGAGCTCCAGAGGACCATACTGGGTCTGAAGGCCCGTCTGTGCGGATCAGTGCACAGGACCCCACGTCACAGGGCTCTCTAGGGCCCACAGATGCATCCAGGGTGCCCCACGTCTCCATGGGCCTGACCCCCTCTGAAGGGGCCTCCCCTACAAAGCCGGAGACCTCAAGCAGTGGGGCGCTCATGGCCAAGGTGTCCTCCCACGACCCCCAGGCAGTGACCAGGAGACAGGCCGTGGGGCTGCTGGCCTTCCTGGGCCTCCTCTTCGGCCTAGGGGTGGCCATGTTCGCCTACCAAAGCCTGCAGGGCTGCCCCCGCAACGTGGCGGGGGACATGGTGGAAGGGCTTCGCCACGTCCCCCGGAGCTGCGGCAGTAACTCGTATGTCCTGGTGCCCGTGTGAGCTGCCCGCCCTCCTATGTCGATGTTCAACTCAAACAGCTGCCTGGGGTCCCCCGTCCTCACTCCTACCCTTACCCAAGGCCTGAGCTGGGATGACCGAAGCAAGGAGGCAAGACCCTCCAGGTGGGGCTGGGCTGCCCCCTTGACCATCATTGACCCACTAGAAACAGGGGGTGGCCCCGGCAGCTCACACCACTGTCCCCAAGTCAGAAAACTCTGTTCTGCTGCTGACCGGCTAGAAGTTTCCTCGGACGCCGTCCCAGCCCCAGTGGACAATTATTTATTGAACGCTCAACCCCTCGGGCCCGTGTCCCCATGTGGGTGCCACGGTCATCCCCCCTCACAGTGAGCCTCAGGCCAGGCCCTCTGCCCACTCCCTCCAACCTCGTCCTGTCTCTCGGTCCTGCTGCTGTCACCAGTCACCCCGGCCGCCTGCGGTGCTATCTCCCCTGCCCACGCCCCAGCTGGGCACCTGTCTTCTTCTCTTGCATGAGGTGGGTGTGGTGTTTGCTGGCACTGTTCCCCGTGAAGGCTCCGCCCTCAGCGCGGCGGCGTGGGAAGGGGAGATGAAGCTCCCAGCGGTTTAGGTCATTTTCTGTCCTCGGTCTGCGCCGTGTGGCGAAGGAACACGGACTCTGAGCCGGAAGCCCGGGGCCCCGGTCCCAGGCCCGCCGTCGGCCTGACCAGGCGTCCGTCCCCGCGGCTTCCCGTCTGTGAAGGGAAAGCCGGACAGCGGATACGTGGCAATAACCTGTGCCCCTGACCGTCGCCATCACTAAGTGGTCCGGGGACCCCTTTCCCCAGACCCTGGGTGCAGCAGCCTCGCAGCTGTCCCAGCTGTCCGCGGCAGAGCACCTGAGCAGAGCACCGGTAGAGAATGCTCTACTGATAGGCGGGACGGGCGCCTCCGTGGGCCCTGTCCCCTGGAGAGCCCGACGGCCCAACCCTGCCCTGTTGGAGGGGTCAGCACCGTGGGCCCCCCGAGTGGAGGCTGGGCAGGGGTACTTGCGGGGCACAGACCAACTTTTGAGGACCCTTTCTGACTCTGAGAACAGCCCCTCTCTGTGTCCCCCAGGCTTACAGGGACACTGACACAGCCCTGGGGACATGTCATGGGCTGAAGGAGGCTGAGGCCCTCCACAGAAGGGTCCAGGGTCCCCCACTTGGTCTTTCTGCCTGAGGCCAGGGTTCCCCATTCCCCTCTCCGGCTCCCAGAAAACACTGTTCTCTGCACACCGTCTTCTCCTCGCGGTGGGCAGGGCCAGGCGTGTCCGTGACGTTTTCCATAGGCTCAGAGCTTCTCATGCTTCTTTCTGAAAGGAACTCTGTCCGTGGGGGAAAAGACGTCGTGGGCGTGGGTTCCTTTCGGCTGCTGAGGACTCAGGCAGACCGACCTGGGGGAGGCTGGAGGCTTACTGGTCGGCCAGCACCTGTGGTCAGAGCTGGACCAGTAGGCCTCACCCCTCAGGGTCCCTGGTGGCAGCTCCCCACCTCCCTCTGATTGTCCCCAAGGGTGATCCTTGCCCCCCACGTGAGAAGCCTCCCAAGGGCTGGGCTTCCTCCAGACACAGGTGACCCATTCCTTCACAGATGGATACTCAGAGGGAGCAAAGAAAGGATCGGGTCTCCCTGCATGCCACTGCCGGGCGCGGCGCCCCTCGTCTGGGCTTGGCTTGAGTGGGGGGGGGCACTTTGAGGGGGACAGCAGATCTGAATGCACTTTTTTTTGGCTCCTGCCAGCTGGGAGCCTCCAAGGGCTGGGATGCCCGTGATGGGGCTCCCCTCCTTTGTCAGAAAGCAGCTGGGGCAGCTGGTCCCTTCCCACAACGTTGTTCGTCCCCCCACCTCGTAGGACACGGGCGAGAACAATCCGGGGAGGGCTTTAGAAGAAGTCGGTCGATCCTTTTGCTTTTCCAACCCCATCCCCAATGTGTGTGCCATTTTGTATTTTACTAATAAAATGGAAAAGTCTTGTGAATCGAACCAAGGTGCTTTTTTTTCTAGGAGCCTCAGGAGGGGTGGAAGGGACAAGGGAGGGGACAAGGCACCTTGGGTCGGCCCCGGAGACCCCCCTGTCTCCAGTCCCCGTGGGGCACAGCGTGGGGTGTTTTTACAATCGGCCTGGGCAGGAGCCCCACCCGGCTCCTCTCTGCCCGGCCCGGACGGAGGCAGGCGTGGGGCTCCGGTCTCTGCAGGGATCAGGATCCCCAATGAAGCAGCCCTCCCGCCCCCCTGCCCCCTGCCGGCTGCACTCGGTGACCTGGTGGCCCGTCACCCTCCGTGATCCGGCTGGTGGCTCGTGGGAGCCAGCTGAGCCACAGGTTCCTCTTTGCGGCTCTGACGCGCATCTGGTGCCGATCAAGATGGAAGAGGGATTATTTTCCGAGGGCCTTGGGCCTTCATAGACGTGGCCCGAACACGGACCTGCTGGTGGCCCCCAAGCCCTCGGCGTCCTGGGGTGGTGTCCCAAGAGCCGCTGGGAACAGCCGTGTGGACTTGGGAAGGACTCAGGCCCGTGGACACACAGTCTCGCGTGGGTTCTCAGATGCATATTTTGTCACATCGTGACATCTCCGGGATCAGGATGAGTCTTACCGTCGACGGCTTGTCACAGTTTGATGAACAGTCCTCTTTGTCTGTATTGGCTCATTAACTATCAGAATGTCTTACAGTCCATAGCATCTTAGACCCTGTGCCTATGCGATGTTTTTTAAAGTGAAAAGCACCATGTAAAGATCAGGAAATTACACACACACACACACACACACACACACACTTTTCTAAGTTCTCTCATTCTCATGCTCTCCGGTGACTCAGAAGGTTTGCCCCTCCCCACACACACCGGCCCAAGGATGATGGTGGGCGGAGCCTGAACCGCGGCTGCCCCTTGGCACGCGCAGGCCAGGAGGAGGAGAGCCCAGGTCTCGGCTGTCCCCTCCACCCCAAGGACGGTCCTGCCTGCTCTTGCCCACGGCCCGGCCCCAGCAAGGAGCTCTGCCTGAGGCGAGGTTCCAGCCTCCCCGCACCCCCACCCCCCCAGCACCGCCCTGCCAGCAAAACACCAACAGAGGCTTTGAAGTGAAAAGATTCTTCACGTTAAAAATTCTGTTGCTCAGGAAGAGGATGGAGTGGGAGAGCCTTCCTTCTCATTCCACAGCCGTCCCCCAGGGAGCTGGGGGTGGGGTGCATTTTATTTTCTGTTTCAGCTAGCTAGACTTCAGTCGAAGCGATTCCCACAACTCACGCAGAGGGAATGGAGGTTTGAAGGCCTTCAGAAACCTGTGGCAGAACTACCAGGACTCTGAGATAATAATGATAAAAACAAGAATAGTAATGAGAGCCGTTGTTTGTTTCCTGCTTACCATGTGCCAGACAATGCACTGAATTCTTTTTGTCCGAGGGCCCCCGTCTTAACAATGACTAAAGTAAAACCCTCAGAGGATGTGTGACCTGCCGAGCGAGGCTCTGACCCCAAATCTTCGTCCAGAACTTGCAGCTTAACCACCGTTTCCTGAAACTCGGAGCCACAGAGCCTTCCAAGCACAGATCCCCGGGCCCCATCTCAGACCTACTGAGTTCAGACTCGGGGGCGGGGGGGCTGGGAAACGGCACCTCCAAACTGGTGCTGCCTTTCCCATGTTTTTCCTCTTCTGTCTCCCTGCTCCCCAGGTTACAGGGTTTGGTGCCTGGCCAAAGTTTTAGAGTCCCGCCCCCCACACCAGGTCCCCCTACTGCCACCTGCCCAAGGCTTGCAGCTACCTACACAGCCTTCTGCCTTTGTCCTCAGTCCCCTCCCCTGCACTTTGTCCTCCCAGCGTTCCTCCGGAGCGGAGAGGCCAGGCAGCAGTGAATGGCCGGGAATTTCCAGCCGGGGTGTGTGTGTGTGTGCAGACAGACGCCTTGTTCCTGGGTGTGGAAGAACACGGGCCTGCTTTACTTCGGCTCAGTCACGTGCTTTCTTGGATGAAGTTTCAGCTGCTGGGATTGAAGAAAAGATCTGGTGCCAGGCTGCCTTTCCTGAGCTGACCGCAGACTTTGGCAGCCAGATCCATCTGCTTAATCTCGCCAAACTGTGGGGTGGCGATGCCTCTGAATGGAGGAAAATCCCACGGTGATGCATGTTGGGGAAGAGAGGCCCCTCTCTGGCCTTCAAGGGCTCTGTTGTCCCCAGAGGGCAGAATAGAATTTTCTGTAGCAAGCACCTTGCTTTTCAGCCAACAGGAGCGGAAGATAACGTGGGGGTCTCTGGCTGTGTGACTTCGGGCAAATTGCTTAACCTCTCTGGGTTTTCTTCTTTGTAGAGTGGCAATAACAACAACTTGCCACGTGGGTGAAGATGCCATAGATCAGCTTTGCTGAACACTTAGAAAAATGGCATGTTCGCAGTGAGCTCGGGGTAAATAGAATGTATGATTATGCAATAGATGTTTCCAGAGGGTGTGAAACATCCTATTTTCACTGGCCTTTGTTACTGAATACCCACACCAGACTGTGGAATTATAGGATTTCTATAAAGAAACACAGCCATTTTCATTTTCAGTAAAGTAGGGTGGAAAAATGTCATGGTGTCATTAGGCAGGTAAGAATAACGTTATATTTTCCCCTGAGCTAATAGATGCTGTCTAAGTTGATGTAACTTTTCTAAACTGCTTTTGAACTTGGTGAGATCAAAACTCATGAATCCCAACTAATTAAAACCAGACTGGCAAGACATCTGAGTCTTCGGCTTGGACGGGAAGGAGAGTTTATTCATGTTCAAGTTGGAGGCTGCAGTCTCCGGCCCCCTGAGTATTCCTGGCTTGCTGCTCTCGGGGTACAGAGGAAGGGTACTCCCGCTAACTCCTTGGGGGTGGTGGGGGCCCAACGCCCAGTTCTGGCCAGTGAGCTGGGAGTGGAAGTGACGTGTGTCTCAAGATTCAAACATTTAACTGACAGTGAGGACACAGTCCCTCAGGCCTAGCCCCTGGCCACCTGCCAGGAAACGATGGCACCGCTATCCTGAGTCCCCAAGGAGAGATGACTCAGGGCCTCCAGCCCTGGGAAGAGCCCCCGCCAATCTCTGTGGAAGCAACAGACCTTTGTGCTTCTGAGGCCCTGAGAGTCTGAGGTTAGTTGTTACTGCAGCACGACCTCGCCTATCCTGACTGATGCAACAGCCAGGAGGAAAAAGTGTGCTGATTCTTGCATTCGGTAGGAATGTCTTGCCATTCCTCCTTGCACGATGCTGTTAAAAGGCTCAGGAACATTCCTTAACTGGGGTAAATAGGCTTTCCATGACATAGCTCGGCCCGCTTCGTGTGCATTCTCTGCACACAGGATAAAGGTCAACCTCGGCTTGGCCAGCTGTCTACGAACTTATCTGGCATCCTCACCGCATGGAGTTGCAGAGAACTCCTTTGTCGTTTCCCTGGAGTGAGCACATTGGTGCTCAGGCATTCTCATGCTCAGATGGGCTGCTGATCGCATTAGCAGACAAGGAAGGGAAGAGGAAGAAAAACATGCACAGTTTTGAGCACCAGCTGTTTGCCAGAAGATCTGGAGGAACCGGTCCTTCGGGCAGCCGGGCCTGTTGCCACAGGAACCCGGCATTGTTGCAGTTCTGGGAGCTGACATGTGCACTTCTGTGTCCATGTTTTCCTGGAAGACTTCAAGACTTCCTGGAAGACCGCTGGCTCCCCTCTTCTCGCTCACCTCCCCCCCTCCAAAACACCTTTGGCCACATATTTTCGTATATCCTCAATTCAATCTTTTCTCTCGCACCTCTGAGCCATTGCCCTAGCTGTGTACCCTTTACTGTTCTCCGGGCCAACTCCCCCTCGTCAGCTCAGAGGTCGCTTCCTCCAGGAGGCCTTCCCTGACTTCTTAGCCCAATGAAGGCTCCTGCAATGCAACCTTCGCCTTCACTCCGGCCGTGCCTATCACAGCCCTCAGGCGACCCGGCTGTACCTGCTTGTCTCACTGTCCTTCTGGGAGACCCCTGAGGGCAGTCACCTGTGTTTCTTGTTCCCCTTTGTGCCCTAGTGGCCACCACATGTCCTGCAAAGAGTGGGACAGGGCAAAGGCGATCTGTGGCCATTGGCACGGTCTGACCTGGTGCCTGTCCCACACGGCTCTCTAATTCCTGGAAAGCGCCCCTGTCCCCGTGAGCGGATGCATCTCAAGGCATTTCCTGATGAGAAAATACTACCTCAAATGGATATCAGAGACCAAAGGGGACCGTCTGTAAAGATGTGTCCAAGCCACCCTGGAGCCCCTCGTACGGACCCTCCACCGTCACACATCCTGGTCAAGAAATGGTCCCTGGGGCCCCACCAGGACCCCCAGGACGCCTGGGCTGGGTCAAGGCTCTGACTGTCCCCCAAACCCCCGAGAGGAGTAAGTGGGGGGAGGGGGAATCTAGCAGCCCTGAGACAGTGGCCCTCTGCTCGTGAAGGTCCCTGTCCCCACCACATACCGCTGTGCAACTCAGTGACTTTTCTCATTTAAACCCGAAGACAGGCCCTACTAATAGGGGCCCTGCTTTCCAGATGGGAGTCCCGAAGCACAGAGAGGTTAAGGATTTTACCCAACATCACACGGCTAGCAAGTGACAAAGCCAGCAGGCATATATATACGTATACATACATATATGCATATTATATTATATTATATTATATAAATATATGCATATATGTATATATAGTCTGTGTATATGTATATATGTGTGTGTGTGTGTGTTTATATATTATATAATTATATTACTGGAACTGCTGATAAGAAAGAAATAGAGGCCTGGCTGGTGTGGCTCTGGGGACTGGGTGCCATCCTGGGAACCAAAGTGTCGCAGGTTCGATTCCCAGTCAGGGCACATGCCTGGGCTGTGGGCCAGGTCCCCAATGGGGGGGCATGTGAGAGGCAACCACACATTGATGCTTCTCTTCCTCCCCTTCCTTCTCTAAAAATTTTTTAAAAAAGAAAGAAAGAAATGCACGGGCACCTGTCCA